ATGATGTTAAATTGCATTTTATTGATTATCTGCATCGATGCGAACAACAACAGCTCAAAAAAGGAGAAAAAAATGCAGCGACAGTTTTTTTTATTCGTTGTCAAGAGTTTCTTCGTCATTTAGCATGAATTCATTTGATACTTTTTTGGCGAACCCCTGTGCAGATCAGAGATGCCAGCTAAATATGCACGCACACACACACGCACCTCATTGGTACCGTTTTGAATGCGGGGCCGATTTTTTTGCTTCCAAATCGAACTAGGTCATGGAGTTCACACTAACGAATCCATTTTGCCTCTGGCGATAGCTAAAATGTCAACGTTAATTGCCGAAATTCTCTTCGATTTTTTTTTGTCATTGGTCGACGAAATTTTTAATCTCCAAAAAAATGATGCCGATCAACGGGGATGATACGCGTTTAAGGCTCATATTTTTTGGCAATTATTTCCGCTTCATTTTGTTCACCGCGGAATCGGATTCATGTATCTTTGAAAGAATTTGGTGCTGGATTCAGTTTGAGCGCTTCGGTAATATTACTTTGGATCGAACGTTGGGACGTTGAGAAAGAACGTTGTTCTTAAAAAAAATCGACTCGAAGTGCGCTCGATGCATGTAAAAACTCGAAGGCTTCTGTATAGATACCGCAGTCAGTATCTTCTTTTGATTCGAATAGTCCCATAAAAAATCTCACAAAAGTCTTGTGTCATAAAAACGCATAGAAATTCGAGTTCGATTCAGTGGCTTTGTTGAATCAAACTCGAATTCGTATGCATTTTTGTAACTGAAGCCAATACGAATTTTGATGTTTTTTTTTTCATGCGTTTCGTACATAAAAAACGAGTCAAACGTTAGCGGTTCCTTCTGAGTAGCGTTGTTTAACGATTAACGATGTTCGCAGAGAGATCATCTCATATTTCCATGACATTTAAGATGCTGATGAAAAGAACCGTTAGAATGCATCGTCAAATGCCATAAAAATCTAGTTCACATTACGCATTGCTTTGCATAACCCCTTCTATTTCACTCGTTTTTTTTTTCATTCACAACACAAAACGCGCTGTTTTTTCGCTTTGGATTTCGTATCGCTGCGGACTGGATTTCGTTTCGTTGCGCTCATCAAGCCAACCAAACCGGGTGAGTGAGCGAGATAATCTTGGAGTTGTAACAGTTTTTATTTCATCGAACGATGATTCATTCTGACAGATTTTCACTTCAATTAAAAGTACACTCGAGAACGCAGTGTTTTATAATCCATGCATTCGTTGACGATTGCATTCCATTGAAGAGCCAGCATAATATTTACTTTCAATTTTCCTATAAAACAGGCTGGCTGGCATTTCTCATTCTCCTTTTTTGTTGCTATTGCTGTTGTATTGTTGTTTCGGAATCTGGTTGTTATCGTAAATCTGGTGGTTGATAATTGCTTTGTGTTCACTCTCTCACCCTTTCTCCGCTTCGTCGATCGAGAGACGTGTCATTGAAAGATGATGATGAACATTGACAGAGGCCACAAAAGAGAGAAGAAAATCGAATTTAATTCTTTCGGTGCATTTCGAAACAAAAAAGGCCGACGACGAGAGAAAGAGACGATTTTATGCGTTCAATTCAATCAAATCCAGCGATTACGACAATTGAAACATTTACACAAAGTGAATGGTAGATTGTTTTGGGGAGAGACAGGGATTACATTTGAAAACGAAGAATTTTGAATAAATGCTACATTCAAACACTTTACGCTTGGATTTTCGTTGATTATTATCCTTTTATTGCAATTCAGTGGAACCAAAGTCTTTTGATCTTTGTCTGAGCGAGAAGTTCATTGCAACCGACTCTCTCTCTCTTTCTCTTTTTTTCTTTCTTTTTTCCTTTTTTATTCTTCTTCTCGCCTCCCTCTTGCTCACTCTTACTCACTCTTGCTCTCTCTCCCTCTCTCTCATACTCTTTCTCTCTCTTCCTGAGTGAAACGAGTGCTTTGCGATCAAATCTCTTGTCAATTTAAATTCACCGCAACCGAATTTCGTTTCCAATTTCGTTTTTGGCCACATTTTTCCATTTTCGAATTTAACGCACCATATACTCCGATAAAATGTGCTTGATGTGCACACGTATACGGCCATAGATGGTCTCGTTATTCCAATAATGTACTCAATTTATGGTCTCATATTCAAATGAAGCATTTCAAGAACGCATCAACTGATTTGAATTATTAGCGTGAATAAAACGGCAAATGAACCGTGCATTTCACATTCAATAATTAAATGCAATTTTTTTCTGTGTTGCCTGACGATCACAAGCTGCGAATTGGTGTAAATTTCTCTTACAAGAAATTCTCGGCAAACGATTGCCTGTTCGGTGCTTTTGGATTCCTTTTGCCATTTCTCTCTCTCTCTCTCTCTTTCTCTTACTCTCGTTCTCACTCTTTCTTTCTTTCCCTCTTTGCTTGTCTCTTGCTCTTGCTTTTGCTCTTGCTTTTGCTCTCTCTCTCTCTCTCTCTCTCTCTCTCTCTCTCATCCACTTCTCACTCTATTTCATTTCTCTCCTAGGCTTTCAATTGCATTCTACTTTTGCACAGTATTTCTATTGCCGCTTCAAACTACACGTTCTCGCTTGGCCACGTATTGTTGATTGGTTTTCAATGCTAATTCTCATGTTTCCATTATTGTAGGACATGCGCAACCCTTTTTTTTTCGTCGCATAATGTACAGTTTCGGTGCAATTTTTCGATGGAAAATTGATTCATCACATTGGAATCGGCATAAATTTGAATCCATTTAAGGTGATGCAAATGTAAAAAGACACCGGCCCTTCTTCTTTCTCTCCGAAATTGAGTCTTCACGCACAACAAACAATTATGCCGAAATGGAGAGAGAAAGAAAAGACCGACGAAGAAATGAAAGCGAAAGTGAGAGGAAATGAACGAGATAGGAAGAGTGTGAGATCGAGGTAGATTGACTGCAAGACTGCCAGATTGGCACTTTTTCTTTCGTTAACAATGACGCAAAAATGAGCGAATGACATCGTTGTAAGGAAAACAATACGCGACGATGGTAAACATTTACATTATGATTATTGTTGATCGTTGCAAAATATTTTAATAAACTGCCATTAAAATAAATGCCGGTGTCATCCCTTTTGCATGTGACATGCCATAAATTAGACGACACAACGATGCACCGCAAAAAATGAAAATACTTCACAGCATTTAGTTGTCGTCTGATTTGAATTTTTCGTTCTCGAGCACATCTCCCTCGGTGAAGCGAGGATCTCATCGGCATTCACACATCGTTAACAAGCACTCATCGAACATTGACTGTGATTTTAACAGCAAAACACTCATAAATTCGTACATTTTATCGATCATTCACATTGTACGGATGATGCACCAAGGCGCCCAACTGTTTCAACCAATCAATTGTCACCGTTTGAATCCATTCACTCAGACGATTCTTTTTATAAATGTCTCGCTATCAGTGAAACGGCACGAATAATTGCATTCAATTCACTATTTAATGGAAATTTTGAATTGTTTTTTCATTTCAATGCGTAGAGAATGATATTTTTGCATTTAATAAGAAAAAAGGAAATTTACATTCGATTCGAATTATTTCAGAGCAATAAAAATTGCTAGAATTTCAATTCGAGACGATGCAAGATAATTTTTAACGTTTTTTTTTTCTTTGACTTTTTTAACCGTGAATTTTGAAATCTCTATACTGAATTATCATACGTTTTGGATTATATGTACTCGAAAATGGTCAAAAATCTTCAGCCTAACAATATTACCCTTTAAATGAAACAGTAGCGAACATGATAATTATGAAAGAAATCGTCTCATCGACTTGGTTAGTTATACTTCTCAGTTTTGCTTGGAAAACTCGAGAAAAGAAATTGCTTGGAAAAGCGTGTATGATTGGTGTGTGACATTTAAAATTGATCAAAAATAAAATAATTTCCATTTTTCTTTCTATCAGAAATATTCTGTGGCTGAATAAGAGTCGTTCAATTTGGACTTATAAGTGCATTCGATTCATTTATCAAAATCGCTTGGACTTTTTCCAACCGATTTTGTTATCATGATAACACTCTATTTGTACAATGCACACTCTGTTATGCCTTCTATCACTGCATTTGCATAAACACATAGTATATATGAATATGAACGATGGAATCATTTTGAATCAATGTTTGTGAGTGTGGATTGAGTTTTTTCTTTTTAAATATTACATTGAAGTAATATTGCAATAGAGTAATTAGTAATCAGTAAATACATTGGTGAGACAAAAACAAAGGAATGCATAGATTATTTACTTCAATCATATTTAACAAGCCTTAGCATATTTGCTAATGATATTCAATTCATAGCATGAATAGATGAACTGGTCTATTGTATACAGATTGAGTTCTTATCTTGATTGTAATGATGAAATGCAACAACGAGAGACGATTGACGAATAATCGTTCGCTTGTTTTTTTTTTTCAAGATAAACAAGAGTTCAGAACTTCAGAGAGTAAAATCTATTATCAATGAATTCCAAAGTTTATATAACCCATGACCAGCGACTAGATGAAATAATAGTAAGTGCGAAAGAGATTGTGCTTAACAGTGTAAAATTGAACAGAAATATTTGCCTCTTTGAACTCTGATAAACTTCAAACAGATGATAATTGATAGTTTCAAATGTTATGTTTGATTTGAGATAATTTTCGATAATTTTTGTCTTTGAACCAATGCGTTTCTACGGCAACGTTTTTTTTTTTTAGATAGTTTATATAGGTGAACGCTCGAGTCTAATTTTGAGTCAGTTACCAAAAACTTTCTGGCAAAGTACTTGAATTAATATTGAACAAAAATAAAAGCATTTTTCATTTGCATAAGTTTTATTTTTGACTACATAATTATTGTGATTTCCTTGAAGAATTCTTTGAAAATGAATAAAATAGACATTGACATAATAATCAATAAACATATCAGTGAGAGTATAGTAAAATCAAGTGGAAAAATGTGTAATATAATCACTGACGAGGAACGAAAATTATTTGGACTTGAAGATCGGCAGATCAAATCAATGATTGAGACTGTGCATGGCAAACGGCCCAATGATGCTTTTGTTCGCGAGCCAACACCTTGGAATGGACTGTATAAAACATACCATTGGCCAGAAGTTCAAAGAATAACAACGGTTCGTAGTGCTGAGTTTATAGAGTTCAATCATGTTCCAGTAATTGTATCCGAAGGCACGCTAATCAACGATAGTACCAAACCGGGTACATTCAGTACGAATTTAGCAACCAATGTAACAAACAGCACTTCAACAACTTGGACGCAAACCCATGGCATTTCTGTAGGACAAAAAATATCTTACAGTGTTAAGTTTGGAAATTTTGTGAAATGTGGTGGAGAGACTTCATTTCAATATAGTCACTCTTGGGGAGAAGGAGGATCTCAAACGAAAACTACTTCATCCGGTGTGGGTGCTAATATTTCGGTGCAACTTGAACCAGGCGAAAAAGTTCGTGCCCAGATTATTGCAAGCCGAGCAAATGCTAAGATAAAAGTCGAGTATGAGTCTTATTTGATTGGTGATATTGCAGTTAATTATTGTCCAACACATAAAGGGCATCATTTCTGGGCATTCGACGTTAATCGCGTACTAAAAGAGAACAATCGGCAAAATTTAGTGGTGTCCACTGAAACAATCGTTGTTGAAATGTTCAGCAAAATGGAGGTAAAATTATGTAGAGACTAGTGCAGAGGTGATGATGATTGTTGAAAATTATGTTTGTAATCAGATTTTTTCTTAATTGATTTTTTGTTTGATTTAACTTGTAATTCAACTAAATTCAACATATTTCCAATAAATGCAATGGTTTTGTTCAATGAGCTTGATTTAGTTTTTTGTGTTTTATGCGAAAACGATAAAAGATAACGGAATATTGTCTTCGACAATGTTATAGAATTGGTCAAGTTTGCTGAATTATCTCTTAACATTTTCGCGAAAAACACAAAAAACCACATACAAAATTCACATTTTCCATGTTACGCTCCTATTGAAGCGACAATTCATTTAAGGTTTTTAAAAAAACAAATTTCATGTTCCGCTTCGGTTCAAACACTTCTATGTTCACATTTTCATTCTCAGCGACATAATTGTACATCACTTCATTCATTATATCTATTAAGATAGATCAGGTTGTTTATGTTATCAAATTAAAAAAGAAAGCTGTAATTTGACAACCAATAATATTTCAGTCTTTTTTAACCGAAATTTCATATTTAATTATTGTCAATATTGTTTAAAAAAATGAATAAAATGCAAAAAAGTTGAAAAAATTCCTCATTTTGAAACCACTACGTAAGGCTTGGATCTCACATACAAATAGCTAAGGCTAACAAAAATATTTACTATAAAACCATTAAAATATTTAAGATAAATATTTAATTATAGGCAAAAAGTTCGAAATATTTACGAAAAAAGAAAAATATTTATCATAAAATGTGTTGCATATTGATGCAGATATAAGTCAAAATAAGTGTGTTGTTTAGCAAAACATTTTTTGCCGTTGTTATGAACTCAGTTCGTTAATTCCTAATTATTCGTGCGTTCTCCGAATCAACAACTCTTTTTTTCTGTAGAAGCGACGAATTCTTAGTTAACGGTATTTCAGAAGTAAATCATACGACAGTTCTCAATATTAATTTGATAACAGCCATTGTGACGCATCTGTGCAAAAATTTGAATATTAAATTCAGTAAAATCATCATCTAATAGGTGAAAAAATGTCTCGGATATCGAGCAATTGTACCTTTCATTACAATATTCTATTACAGCACTCGAAATTAATCATATTGAACGAACATGGTTTGATTGAAAGATTGAATTGGGACGCCAACTTGGCGCCCAGACAATCCAATTTACAAAATTCAATGCATAGCCAAACATGCCACACCATTTCAATTGGATAAATTTAATGTCTACACACAATTTTTATCTCCGAAGGTTACATTCCATAATCCAGTTAATAAAATCACAAATGGAATCGCATTCGTTACTACCATAAGTGTCCTTCATGTACTATGTGATTTGGATGAAATTTAATTGCATTTTTATTGATTTACCACGCGCTTATGAATTGAGCGATTCGTGTTTACTATAGTCAGTTCATTTCTACCTGTTTTATGAAGCTAAACGAAAACTTAAAATGAATTATAGTGATTTTTCACTAAGGTTTTTCTCACCGATCAAACGGACGTTGGAGAAAATTTCTCGTTATTACTTTTCCGTACACAACGTGTCAAGGGAAAGTATAGAAATTGGTCCCGAAAACTTTTTTCGCAAAATTGGTTTAGATCATCATAAAAACTCATGAAACGCATAGAAAACCACTTTTTGGAACACTTTTCCGTTCGTGTGCCGTCGTTGTCGTTGTCGTTGTCGTTGTCGTCGTTGGTGTGTGTTAACACGATAACTCAGAAAATAATTGAGATAATCAAAATCTGGAAACGCCAAAAGTTTTGTATTCGAAAAACTTAGTTTAAGTTTGAAGATGAGCCATTTCCGATTTGACCCTGGGGTACTTGCCCTAAGAAAAACCTCAAAAAATTGACACTTTTGTATGGGAGGTACC